TGGCTTGGATGCTGCTGCTGCTCTGGGCCTGGCTGCTCCCGACCCAGCTGCTCTGGGCCCGACCTCTCTGGAAGCAGCCCCCCGCCTCAGCTCCGTGGCCCGCAATCAGCAGTTGAGGGCCCAGCAGCAGCGCGCCCCCCCCCCCCCCCCCCCGGAGGCCCCATCACCCTGCTTCTTGCCGGCGACTGGCTGGCCGGTGTCCGGGAGTGGCTCCTGCTCCTCATCGCATTCCTCCCAGTCCCGAGCTTTTTTCTCCTTCCCACTAGGGGAGTCTAGTATCAGAGTCAACAGACTGTCCTCTGCACGCAATGTGCGCGACTCCTGGAGCTCTGCCCCTCTCCTCTCCCCTGGGACTCCACCTCACAGCCATCTCCCTCTGCCTGAGCCTGGGTCCCCAGGGTCTGGCCTAGAACTGGGGTTCAGAGCAGTCAGAACTGAGGCCCAGCACGGCAGGAGCTCTTGTTTCCTTCCCACCAGGGCAATCTAGCATCAGAGTCAACATTCCTTCTTTTGTGTGCAGTGTGCGCAACTCTGGGGGCTCCACCTTTCGCTGCTCCCCCGGAATTCTGTCTCACAGCCCCGTCTCCCCTTGCTCGAGCCTGGGTCCCCAGGGTCTGGCCCAGAACTGGGGCTCAGCGCTGCCGGTTCTGGGGTTCAGCCCAGTCCAGGGCTTTTATTTCCTTCCTGCTAGGGAACGCCAGACAGGCACCCAGCCTTCTCTTCCTCTCCGTCTCCATCCTCTCCGCACAAGTGCGCTCACGCGCAGCATGTCTCCGTACCTTAGGCTTTTTCAGCTCCTCTGATTTTCCTTCTGATTTTCTCTTTCCTTCTTGTAGAATTTTCAGTCAGTCGACTACCTGTAGCTCTGGGCAATGTCCATTTTATATTTTAGTTGTATTCCATTGAAATTCTTGTGTGCGGCTGCGGTTAGGTGTTTACCTGTGCAGCCATCTTGAATCCTCCCCACTTGTCTCCATTTTTTAATGGAAATTAGAAATAACCTTTTCACTAAAAAAAAGTAGTTTCTGTTCACTTATAAGTAGACTTATTTACTACTTCAAAAATTAATTTATTTTATGCTAGAACATAAAAACCTACACTTTAGATTCATTCAACCATAGCAAACCTAAACTAACCCAGCTTTTATACTCCTGATGTGCTTAATTCCCAGATGGATTTCTTCTGCCACCAGCTGGACTTTAAGTATTTTGTGAAGTGTAATTTTTCATTGAACCATTCACACTCACTAACCTCTGGACTCCTCTTGGGTGCCAACTTCATAGCCAATTTGTATTCTGAGCATTCATATGAGTTGTTATTCACTAAACCGGATCATTGATTCCTATTGTTAAGATCATGAATGGCTACAGCTGTAAACATGGTTATCTGGAGAGTTTTTGCTGCAGCAGGACCTGAAACCGAGGCTCCAGGGACAAATGGGTGGTGCTGCCATCTTTGTGATGGAATGATGGTTAATTTTCACATTATCCTTCTATTAGATACGATATTGGTCAATATACTGGTCAGTATCTATCATACTGAAAATATTACTAAGATTATTCATAACATAACATAACATAACATAACATAACATAAGATATTTTTGTCCAAATTTATTGTCTTGTATTGAGAGTGGCCTGTAGAAATCATCATTAATTTCTAGTTCAAAATATTTTTATTATCCCAACTAAAACCGCAATAAGCAGTACTCTTCATTCTCCCTTCCTTCCTGGCACCCAGTGATCTGTTTTCTGTAACTGTGGATTTACCTATTCAGAATATCTTATAGAAATAGAATCATACTATACAGCATGGGGCAAAAGTAGGTCCACAATTGTGAGTATGTGAAACAGAGTTATTTCTGGTATTATCATTTCTTTATTATTTTATTTATTCTCCATATGAACAACTGTAAACCTACTTTTACCCCACCTTGTATTTTACCTTTTGGTATCTTTCACTGAAACATAATGTTTTAGAGGCTCATTCATATACCAGCATTTATCAGTACTCCATTCCTTTTTATGACTGAGCTAGATGCCCAGTGCACAAAATTTGTGCACAGGGGTTGGGGTTCCCCTCCTCCCAGCCTGTACCCTCTCCAATCTGGGACCCCTCAGGGGATGTCCAACTGCCAACCAGGGTAAGAGTAGTAGGAGAAAGAAATGTTAGTTTTCAAAATAAGTACTTCTGTATTATGGATTTTTAAAGCATATGCATGGTTCCCGTTGGCAAAAAATAGATAATAAAATCAAATAAAAATTATATTTCCAAGAAGTATAATTTATGTTATTTTAGACTTTAAATAATTTGAAATATGATTTTTACAATATATTCTGCATCTGTTAGCATATAACTTAATTTTATTTCTCTTATATCTCACTTTATTCTAAAGTAAAATGATTTTGGTTTGATGGTCACATTGTCCTTATACCTGAAGATATAAATGGAAGTGTTCTATTATCCTGCATTGATCCAGACCAAGGTAAAATAGTGAAGTCAAGTCATACTCACCTCAATTGGATTTTCAGTGTCTGAAGGATACAATTAAATGCAAAATCAGAATATCAATCCAATTTTTAAGACATATGTGCAACATAAACATAAAAGTGAATTTTACTATTCATGATATTAAGGGAACATGTTTTCTGAATTTATTAGGAAAAAAAGGACAATTGAGTAACTCCTTTACTGAGAAGCATAAGTAAAACAAAAACAAAAAAACACAAAAAAATCCAAGAGAAAAAGTAAAAAAAAAAAAAAAAAAAAAAAAATGATACTGAACAAAAGTAACCAGCACACATTTTGTTTCTCTTGGGAAAATCTGAAAGCAAGCACTGTGTGAACCATGGTTTCCAAACAAGAAGTTCAAATTACATTTAATAAAGTCAGAAATTTTAAAAAATAAATTTTCTTTTTATTTAAAGTAGAAAAATAAATGGAATCATTACCAATGTGAATGGTTTAAAATGTATTTATATGATATTTGTTACAAGATAAAATACATTTTGATGTGTTTCTCTGCCTTCTAGTGGCCGATTAATGAGCATGGTTTGTAACTAATAAAATGTAAGAATTTCTGTTTTCAGTCATTTAAGTATTGAGTTTTTTCTGAGAAAAGAGCTAAATAAGCTGATTCTTTCAAATATAATTGTTTTGACTTCATCACTTTTCCCACTCCCTGCACTGTACAGGATAATGAAATAGAGATTGTGTGTGTGTGTGTGTGTGTGTGTGTGTGTGTGTACACACCAGCCTGCAAGTGAACAGAAGATAAAACACATATGACACAAGAATACTTTGAGCCTTCTGGGGCAATCTGGATAGAGATAAATTATTGTTTCCTTTGTTTCCTTGTCTCAAATTTCACACCCTAAGATCTTACTGGCAGGGCAATTCTATGAAACTTTAATTGCTTGCTGAGACCTAGCTTAAACTCAGAAAGGGCAGAGGAACAGTCGAACTATGAGACACTTAAATTATGAGAGAAAGTAGGGCCATCCTCCCAGAATTGGTTGCGGAGTGTCTGACCCACTACAGAGATGGTAGGGAGTTCCCGAGGTCCTGGTTGGGAACAGAGTCAGACACAGGAAATGAATCCCTCTCCTTGTAGCCCCGATGGCACAAGATTTGTTTATATACTTTTGTTTGTGCAACTCTGGGCACCTAGGATTTTAAATAAGTGAATGTATTCCATCAGACTCAGCCATTCATCCTCATGGACCAAATTAAAGTAAGTGATAACCACATGGCCTGTTTCTCTCTCTTTCACTCTCTCTCTCTCTCTCTCTCTCTCTCTCTCTCTCTCTCTCTCTCTCTCTCTCTCTCTTTAACTTTACTATTACTTTTTCACTTTCAGTTATAGACAATGAATAACCAGCAAACTGCACTTTTCTTAGAAGTCAGAACTTAAATGTTTTAAGCCACACATCTTTCCTGAGTAACTAGAGATTCCATCTCAAGACATCTTTGTGGGTATGTTTCTATAGTTTATATAGTAAAGCAAGGGCTTTGAATGCAGCCATAGCAAGAACTTCCTTTTTAAAAAGATGTATTAATTTTAATTTTTATACCTCAAATATGGTTCCACGTTATTTCAGAGACATAGATAAAGCTAATTAATTTAAACCAAATGAAAGCAATGAGTTAAAATTATTATGATTCAACTTTGTTGAGTAAAGCAATGAAAACAAATGAAATTTTACCATGTCTTGAATGAAGTTAGGTGTTAGAAATGTGATGGCCTATTATATTTCTAATTACCTAAAGGACAGAATATGAACCTATTAAGTTTATTTAAGTGATATATCAAAATAGTAAGACTATTAAATACATATATTTTTAATATATTTTATTGATCTTTTATAGAAAGGAAAAGAGAGGGATAAAGAGTTAGAAACATCGATGAGAGAGAAACATCAATCAGCTGCCTCCTGCACATACCTCACTGAGAATGTGCCCCCAACCAAGGCACATCCCTTGACCGGAATTGAACCGGGGACCCATCAATCCACAGGCTGACGCTCTATCCACTGAGCCAAACCAGTTAGGGCTGAATACATATATTTTATTTGTGATTTAGAACATTTCATTTTCACAGAAACACAGGCATCTGTAGCTTAAAATTTAATAAGTGACCTATTTTTATTGATATTTCTTGTAAATATACATGTTTTATAACATTTTTCCAAAAAACTTTAATTTTGTTATTCATATAATTTCTGAAGACAGTTATGTCAGTTTTATAATGAGTATTTCAAAGAAAAGTAGTAACCAGATAATTTGGTCAAATGTCCATTCAATATCAAATTAAAAGTGTTCAGCTTAACCCTGGCCAGTGTACCTCAGTGAATAGAGTGTGAGCCTGCACACCAAAAGGTCATAGGGTTTGATTCCTGATCAAGGGAACATGTCTGGGTTGCAAGTTTGATCCCAGGTGACAGTTGGAGCGCATGCAGGAGGCAATCAATGAATGTGCCTCTCTCACATTGATGTTTCTCTTTCTCCCTCCCTCCCTTTTTCCTTTCTTTCTAAAAACTAATGAACAAAATATCCTTAGGCTAGAATGAACAACATCAAAAAAATGTGTTCATCTTAATTTGATGTATTTTTCAATGTCCCCCAAAGGTGATATGGTGATACCTGGCTTGAGAAAATATCGACTCATTTCTGCTCTGTAGCTGAAAGACACTGGAACTCTGACAATCACAGAGACCCCAGCTAATGATTAAAATTTGTGTGTCACTAGAAAGGAGGTAATGCTCGAATCTGTCCCCAATCCACTCTGGAATAGAATAGAGTCATAGAGCAAGGAAATACATCTCAGAAAGATATGAAGAAAAAGGACTCATGCTAAAATTAAAGTTTGAGTAAGATTGTGTAAGGCTTGGAGATAGATAGTTGTGATTATTAAAAAGTGAAAAATTGATATCAGACCTGCCTCATATCAAAACCTATTGAAGACAAAAAAAAAATTCAACAAACATTCTCTCTTCTAACCCTTTTGAATAAAATATAATTTATATAGTAAAAATTAATAAAAACATAAAGTTTAACAACCATCAGATTCAAAACCCATGCAACTAAAACCCATGTAAATAAATAGAAAATTTCCAGGATTACTAAGATCTTTCCTCCTTCTTCTTTCTCTTTCCATATACTACCACCATCTTTACTTATCACATGGCCTTCATGTCTAATGTGAACTGTGGTTTATTTTTGCCTAGTTTTGAAATTTGTATAATAAGAACAATGTAATATAAACTGTTATGTTCAGTCTATCTTATTTTCCTTGTGTTCTTATAAAGGACCCCCAAGGGCTCATCTTCATCTTCTTGACAACTAGGCTTGATGTAAATAACTGTGGCTGATGAGTAAGACAAATGATTGATTTGATGTAAAGCAATTGGGGCCCAATTTGGATACTGGAACTGGGTCAACTTTACTGAAAACAAAATGAAGAGTAATGACTATATAAAGGAAATTTTGAGGCATGGAACCTCTATGAGGATGAACTTCGGGAAATTGTTGACTTCTTTCAATAATATTTTGTTTGCTTTTGTATGTTTCCTTTTGTTTGTTTGTTTTTTAAGACAGGTCTTTATGAGAGAGTCTACCACTAAGTCCAATAAATAGCAACTTCAAAGAATAAACACATTCTATCACACAAGTTTCTGCGGGTTGGGAGTTCTTGAACAATTTGGATGTGACTCAGGTTCTCTTATTAGGTGACTGTCAAGATAGTTGGGGCTTTGTTATATGAATGCTTGAGTAGAGCTGGAAAGTTGGCTTGCAAAACATGCTCATTACATAGCTGCTAGAAATAGACTTTATTTCTTTTTTAATTGAATTTATTGAGGTAACCTAGGTTCACAAAATCGTACATGTTTCAAGTGTACAGTTCAACAAAGAGGTTTTAGCTCCTTGTCATATGGTCCTTTCAACAAGGCTGCTCCTGATATGATGGCTGGCATTCCCATATCCAGTGACCTGAAAGAGAAAAAGAAGGAAGAAGCCACACTATCTTTTGTGAACTAGACTCATAAGTGGCATACTATCATTTCCACTGTCTTTCACTGGTCACACATATCAACTGTGAGACAATGTGGAAGGAATTTAAACAAAGTCATGTGAATCTGAAAGTGAACATCTAGCATTTGGCTATAATATATACTTTGTGGATTTTCACCTTTATAATAAACAAAGACTGATAATATGAGACACACCTCTTTGAGAAATGTACAATTTATAAGTACATTTACAACTCTTATTATGTAACCTAAGAAAGGATAAGGCAATGTAGAGAGTAGGGTTGATGACTGTGTAATCTCATTTCACACACCTTGACATGAATTTGCAAACTATGGTCTGTGGAGCAAATTTATCCCACCATTTATTTTTCTAAATAAAATTCCCTTGTAACACAGCTAAACCATACATTTATATATTATCTATGTTTTCTTTTTGCACTGCAATGGCAGAGTTGAGTAGTTTCAACAGAAGACTTGCCCACAAAGCTAAAAACATTCATAATTCACTTTTTATAGATTGCTTTGAGGATGTAAAGAGAAAAAAATTACAAAATTATGAAAATGTAAAGTGTGGGTAAATATTCCAAATATTTCCAAGAGAAATGATAAGGCTCCCATGAGCATACTTATATAATGCTTTTAATAATGGCAAATAGTCTGATACAGCAGGAGAAAGAGTATTCAAATGTGTTGGGGACAGAGAAACATCCAGAAATAAACTTCCCAAAGTTTATTTACACAAAAATAATTTTTCTCTGGATAAAACTGATAACATTTGTTCTAATATTTATGTAGTGAAATTTGGGTTTTGGAGAGCTGAGGCATAAGGTCATCTAATGGAAACAGGATGTCTAACCAATTATCTCCACTGTAAGTTATCAATAAACAAATTGGCCCTTGAGACTTTTGAACTTTAAAAAAAAAACTTACTGTAAATAGTTAGTTAGTTGGTTAGTTCACTGTCCTTACCATGACCAAGAGGCAAAAACTGGTGCTCAAATATCTTGAGATAAGCAGAAAGCTGTCCCAACCCAACTATAAAATAACCTTATTGGGCAAATTTAGATGTCACTAATGGAGTAACTAAGAATAAATATATTGGGGTAACCATAAAGCCACTATGAGACACCACCTCACTCCTCACAACTTTCAAAATGGCAACAGAGAGGGATAGCCTCTGGGAGCTGAGGGCCTCAGTCCCACAACCACAAGGATCTAAATTATGTCAACAGCCCGAAGGAGCTTGGGATGGAACTCTGCGTTTCAGATGAGAAGACAGGCTGGTGAAGACGTTGGTTCTAGGCTTATGAAACCACAGATAAGGAAACAACTAAGCCATGGCCAATTCCTGATCCAAAGATTATACCAGGTAATAAACATGTTCTATTGTTAAGTTCCTAACCTCCTCATAATTTGCCATGAACCCACACATAGCATGTATTATATATACTCGGGGTTACATATTTAGGGTTTCAGAATAAAATAAGGAAGACTACATGGACTACTGCCATATTTTTGTGTGTTTCTTAGACATTTCCTCACCCTCTCCTATTTGTTTTACGTCTAACACTGAAATAGTCACTCAGCTAAATCCTCTCATGTGCACAATCCCATTAAAAAAAAAAAAGAACAAAAGAAAAAAATAAAGCATCTATCCCCAGAGAATATATTAGAAATTCCATGTCAGAGGGAAGAAAAATACTTAGTAGAAAGACCTTTATGTAAAAGAAGTCTCACCTATCCCAAAGATTATAAAGAGACTTTCAGGATGAAGGAAAGCAGAATGCAGGTAAGAGTGGGAGGAATAAGGTCAAACATGAAATGGGTCACATGGTCAAGGCCTGTGTATGACTAATATAAGAGGACCATGCTGTGAGAGGGACACACTGCCATGGATGACTAGAATCCTCCATTCAATCCCGAACTTTCCATTGGAATACTCTGAAATTATATGGAAGCTGAAAAAACTCAGAGCTATAATTGGGAGGCAACAGTAATTTTCCTCTCCCAGTGGAGACAAATTTTGAAAGCATTCATCCTGGACAGAAAGTGTGAAAATGGAACATCTTTGGTTCATTGCAGAGAAAATCACTCTAAGCAAGAAAACAGTCAAACAAAAGAAACAAGAATCCCAAAGGAAATTGCTTCATGGGAGGAGGACAGGGAGAGGGGAGAGTCGGAAGAGAAAATTACTCATTTAATTATAATCTTATCTATACTGTGTTTTAAATTGAAATTATTGTGTATTATTTGGAAATCGTGTGGACAATAAAGCCAAAACATAAAATATCCAGGAAGTACAATGTATGTTCGCTTAGTTCCAGTTAAATGTTTGAAAAATGTTTTAGCCTGTCCTGTGTTGTTGTTTTTTCATAATATAACTTAAATGTATTTTTCCTAAGTCAATCTTTATACATGAAAGTAAAGAGTTCAACTTTTAATCTTATTATATTTATATAATGACACATAAAAGATTCTTTCTTCTTCCTGGTTCATTATATTGTATATTGAAAACCAATCTGAGTTCTTAATTGTTATTATTATTTAATTGAAATATAAAACTATTAAATATATAGAAATGTCAATATAAATTTGACATTTAACCAAAATGTATACAACAATTACCAAAAAGAAAGGAAATCGGATTCTGAAATCTGTGAGACTGTAAAAACCTCATCCAAATCTCAGGACTTGGACCTCATTGTGTTCCTAGCCCTTCTATGACACATTCAGAAATGCCTCTATAAAATCATTCACTCCCTCTTCCACAAAAAGAAGGGAATTGTTCATATTTTACACATATCATTTAGGAAAAGGTTCTTGGGATTGATTAGAGATTAAGACCTTCAATGCATGTGCAATCTTTTATTGATTGATAAGGAAGAATGAAGTAAAGAAAGAGGTACTGTCAATGTATGTGATCAGGACTTGGAGTCCCTTTACCCTTGCAAATTCTGAAAGCAATCAAATAGGAATCACATATTAGACCAAAGTCTTAAAATCATCTTACAGAACTCAGGAACATCAAGAGAAAACACAGCTGAAACCCGTTTGGCTCGGTGGATAGAGTGTCGGCCTGCAGATTGAAGGGTCCCGGGTTTGATTCCGGTCAAGGGCAAGTACCTTGGTTGGGGGGGGTACATCCCCAGTGGGGGGTGTGCAGGAGGCAGCTGATTGATGTTTCTCTCTCATCAATGTTTCTAACTCTCTATTCCTCACTCTTCCTCTCTGTAAAAAAATATCAATAAAATATATATTTTTTAAAAAGAGAGAGAAAACACAAATGTGCACCCCTCTGCAGCTGGAAGATACATCTGAGGAAACTTATATGCACTTTCAACTCTACATTAACTCATGTTAACTCATTAACTCATCATGTTCTCACATATGAGGTCCATTCATGTAGAAGTATAGGTATCCAGAAAGAACTACCAGAAACGTGAGATGATGATGGGAATTCCCAATATGGTACTCCACACAAAGGTCTGAAATAATGTTGGTGTATATTATTCAGTGTAAGTTGTTTAATTTAAATTTCTGCAGAGAAAATTTACCAGAATATATACATGACAATATTGATCATATGCACTAAATCAAAATATTTATGAAATTATTTACCTGAGGTTTTGTAATTTTAGGTATACATGCATGCATCTCATCAATTGTAAAATGCATGTTCTCAAATATATAAAATTGCATGATAAAATATAATATGAAGCATTTTACAGATCTCAGAAACAGATAATTAGTAATGATGTAAGAGGAAGACTTACCATTCTTAGTAATGCTGGGCTTTCATTGCCCACCCTTCTGCACTAAGCAACACCTAAGCAGTTGTTCACAGATATAAAATTTTTCATCTGTGCAGGGAACATTCAAAACAGTTTTGGGTGCGTTAAACATTATGCAGTTTCCTGGATATAAATCTTTCGTTAATGGGAATCTGTAATGAAAAATAAAATGTTACGTAGAAAAAGGAAATGAAAATTTCCTATCTGAAAATATGTATTTGCTAATTTAATCTAGGAAAACAAATTAGAGCATAAAAGTGTTGTTGTATGATGCTATAATACCAGGTTTGTGACTGGAAGCACTATTCCAAGATTACAAATACATACAGAAAATAAGCTCCGATTATAAAAACGTGGGAGGATGCTGAGAATATTGGATACTACCAGAAAAAAAAAATAATAGCTATCCTGCTTTTCCTGGACAGTTTATGTGTGAGAGGGCAGCTTTTTATCTCTTCTGTTGTTGATAATTATCTGCTCAGACAAGTCCTGGTATCAAGGTATAATAAAAAGAAAAAGTCAAAACCTATTTTATGATCAAAAGTACAGTAACTTGTGTCACTTGAGCATTTATGTGGATGTTCTATACAAGTCTAAAACTGTTGTTCTCTTGTATCTAATCTTTTCTGTATTCTCATGCTCCAAACAGGTTTGTTTTAGCTACATTGTCCCTGGAATTTATCTTCTCTGAGTACCAAGGATAAACTCATAAAGTACAGGAAAGTCTTGACTGTCAGAAACTTACAGATCTTTGGAAAAAGCAGAGCCATCCTCCCACATCCAGGCGTGATGTTTGTCAGAGTAAGCGAGTCCAATCCAATAAAAATTTCTAAGGTATTTTATAAACGGCTGCTTTAAAAGAGAGACAAATTATTAATCTAATTTGAATCCACTCTGCAAATAAAGTCCTCTCAAGAAAGTTAGTGTCCAGAATCAGATCCAGACTCCACTCTAAATCAATCTAACTGAAATCATTTTAAAAGTCTAGTACAGGAAGTGTGGTCATGTCTCATCATGTTCTCACATATGAGGTCCATTCATTTATGAAGAAAAAAATATCACAAATCTCAATTCTTGAATGAAAGGAAAACTTTATAAAGGGGTTAGATTTTCATGGAATAACGTAGTTCCTTCACAGAAGATCAATCATAAAGTTGGATTCCAAATCAAAAGCATCTTGAGGAATAGTTTTTCAGACATAACCTTTTTGTCCTAGTCTCCCCACAGATTACTCATGCAACTGGAGAACTCCTTCACTTGTCTTAAGAGTTGGGTAACTATTATAATCATGCTCTCATATTTGTTTCTCCTTATATTCCAAAATAATCGCAACAGCTATACAATTATAAAAAAATATATATTCAATTAAGAAAAACTAAAAATTACAAACTTGCTTGTTTTTTTAAATAAAAAATAATGACCTATTACTCATTTCTTCTTTGATTTCTCTCTAAAATGCCTCTTGTATTTTACCTGGCATCTATCTCAACTTTTATTCCTATAATATAATATAAATTTTTGAGAAATTGTGTGTTGGTTTTATAATGATTGTTCTAAGGAATAAAAAAGTAGTAAGTCATTATTATGTCAAAATACCATCCATTTACTATCTGAAAAGACTTGAATCAAAGTAATCAGCTTACTTAGACAATATGTTATCCTAAGCCAAAGACAATATAATTTTTTTTTAAAAGAATTAAATACATGCCAGCTCATCCATGTTTTTCAACTGAAATAGAGTGGAATTCTGAGAAGCACAGAAATCCCTACTTTCTGCCCAAGTTTTTTTTTCATTGGAAATGAAGTAACAGTTGCATTGGTACCCAATCCATTTCTCTTGGCAAAAACAGCAGCCAGAGCCTGAAAGAAAAATAATTAAATAAAACTTGACTAATGTCATTGGAGACTCAATTTTTTAAGCACTATTTTCTCATTCAAAAATTATTTTATATTTTTCTACAAATATTTTTTTTCTACAAATATTTTTTGAGAGACTACTTCAGAGGAGAGCCATGTGAATGAATCATGGGCATTATATTCTAGAGATAGCATCAGAATTATCAATCTGTTATTAATCATAATTAATGCTAGATGGGGTAAATATACATAAGAAATTCAGTATGTTAAAACATCCTATAGCTGAGTGTAGGAAGTGACCCAAAGTTGAGCACTTCTGTGTGAATAGGATTAATTAGATGGAAGAGATATTTAAGAGTGAAAGACATTTTAGCATATTTTCTGAGCCAGGAATAAATATGGTACATTGGGAGAATTATGGTATATATTTTAGATATTTTATTTTCAAACTGAAGATAAAACAATTAATTTGAAGACCAATGAACATTTTATCCTCAGAGACAGACATAATGATACATGGTATGGACTCAAATCTTTGCCAAGTGAATGGTGCTCAAATTATAGAGTAGAATGGTCATTACATGAGGAGAAATGGAGAGAAGTTGAAAATAAACTTCCAGTTAGAAGATTAGTGTTCTGAGGGTCTACTGAATAACCTTGGGATTACAGTTAACAATACTGCATTATACACTTATAAGTTGCTAAAGGGTAGATTTTCAATGTCCTCAGGACAAAAAAGAAATGCAATTATGTGATATGATGGATGTATTAGCTAGTGCTACAGTGGTCATCATGTTATAATATATAAGTATATCAGCATCAACTCATTGTATATTGTAAACTTATACTAGCACATTGTTATATGTCAATTATATCTCAATAAAGCTGGGAAATACCTCAAGAAGAAAAAGATAAATAAAATACCATTTGATCATAGAAGATGATGAAACAACTTGGAGAGAATTTGGGGAAATGCATTAAAAGAAATTGGACTGAGTTGGCTTAAAATGGAAAAGTAGGCTCAGATTTGCAGAAATCTCTGCACTATGTTCTGAGTCATGTAAGAAATGAAGCAAAGGTAAAGATATATATATAAATATAAGTTATGAGCAAACACTGGCAGATAATAAGGATTAGCTGTAATATGTACTATAATTTGTTTTTTATTTGTTATTTAAACATTAGCATTCATACAGGAAAAACACATCCTTCAGGCCAAATTTTTCTTATTACTTAAATATATAAATGATGTACACTCAATGTAATTTAATAATTTTTACATTAGAGAACAAAGAAATGAGATTATTCTAGTCGACAAACTTGTCTTTTACTAAGTGTAATATTCCATCACACTTCTGTGTGAGAAAAAACTAGAAACTATTTCATGCTCTATCAAAACTAATATTTTCCAAATTATGGAACCTACCTTCCTGAGGTTCCATGGTGGTGGGTGCTGGAGATGATGTTGGCAGAATACTTTGTTTAGTAAATGCTTTAAGAAATAATTAGAAATTTACTTAATTAAATACAGGTTTATAAAATAACACAATATCGTACATTAGTAAAACAAAACCTTTCTTATTGAATGGCTTTATTTCAGTCTTGATCTTTCCTGCTATATATACTTGCCTATAAAAGCTTACCATTTTTCAACAAAATTCCTAAAGTGGCCATCAGCACAAGGCACGTTACTCCTAAGACCCCAGAAGTCAACCTCCATAGTGTGCGCTGAAAAACTGTAGAGAAAGGGAAGTGGAGGGATGAGTTGAACAACAAACACAGGAGCTAAACTGCTGATATGCAGACACCAGAGAGAAAATACAAAAATTTATTCAGTTTGAAAACCCAACTGAAACATTGAAAAATGAAGACATTCCATTGAGAATTCCTCCCAAAATTAAACATTTTATGTGATGTACTTTATTCTTTAGGAAGGTTATCCATATGTTTTCTTCTTTACCAGCTCTTTCTCAGAAAGTGGATTCAACATTTATTTTTAATTTGACAAAGAAGTCCAGCGATCTGGAGTAAGAAGAAACAGGCACCAAGCTTTGTTTTATGGGCTTACAAAACAAACATCTACTTTAATTTTCTTAGCAAAAATCACAAGATATGATTCCCACTAGGTAGATGAAAAAATTTAGAACTAATTATTATTGCTATTTTCTCAAGGTATCAAAGCTAGTAAGTATCCAAGTCAGAAATCAAACGAAAGTTTGTCTTAGACCAGTCTTTATTTAATATATTCTGTCATTGTCACAACACACTTGGGAGCATGTCCTTCTGAGAAAGGTCAGCTGCTCCTAGATGTGTAGAGCTTTTACAGGGAAGAAAAGACATTGAAGTATTATGGATCAAAGCATGGTCAATAAGAGGGGAGCTGGGTTTATATCACATTGAATTATGATACATAAGCAACAATTTTTACAAGAACATTATATTACTAAATACCTCATATTCCTTGCTTATAACCATTTTCCTGACAACAATTCAACATTAGGAGATTCTACGTTAACATCAGCACACTCCCAAAATGGTGTCATTAACAACAGACCGTTGTGTCACACTGTCAATCTGGTTGGTGTTTGCATGTCACAACCCAAACGCAAAATTTTAAAATAGCGCTTGTAAGCACTGTATCCTAAATACTTGGTATTCTCTATTCATACTAGAGAACGTGGCTCATAAGTTAACCTGGTAAGTTCAGTTCTCAATTAGAATTTAGAGCTTTCCCTGCCAATAGACACTTTTTAAACCTGTTGGAAAAGCCTCACAAATCATTTTTAAGTTACATAATGGCCTAACATTTCCCACATTATTTTCTGAAATACTGTTTCAGTATTTCACCCACGACATACTGTTTATTTCCGTTTATATTTATTTTTAAATTTATGAGTCAGGCCGACATACCTGCCATGAGAAATGTTCTTCCAGTGTAGGCACAGAGAAGCCACGATGTTTGTTTGTTTAGGAAGAATGGTGTTGGAGCTGAAGGCTAAGAACCTGAAAGTTGTGTATGAAGAAACTCAAAAGGAAGAGAAAAAATGGTGTGTTTTAGTGATATGCTTGATGTTCCGGAAACCACAGAACAGGAAATTCTCACTTCACTGTGTAATGCAAATTCCTTGGCAATCAGAAGAAAAAAAAAAAAAAAAAAAAAAAGTGAAAGGTGTCTTTTTTCTTAATGTTTGAACAGGGATCATCTTTTTAAAATATTGGGGGGAAAGATGGGCACACCAAAGGCAAATTTACCTAGTATAATAAAGTGTCACAAGAATTTCCTTCTTTTAATAATGATAAACATTTATAATTTACTGGATTTGAACACAGATTCAATTACTTGGAATATGTTTGCACATTTGTTTCTGAGTGTCCTTTATAATAAAGAGGTAATAGTCCAACACACAAGATGGCCATCCCCATGTGGACACAAGATAGCCATCACAAGATGGCCAGCAGGGGAGGGCAGTTGTGGGTGACCAGGCCAGCAGGAGAAGGCAGTTAGGGGCAAGTAGGCTGGCAAGGGAGGACCGGTAGGGGTGACTGGTGAGGCAGTTAGGGGTGACTAGGACAGCAGAGAGGACTGTTAGGGGAGACCAGTCCTGCAGAGAAGGTCACTTAGGGGCAATCAGGCTAGCAGAGCAGTTAGGCATCGATCAGGCTGGCAAGGGACTGATTAGGGGGTGATATGGGCTGGCAGGCAGAAGCAGTAAGTGGCAATCAGGCAGGCTGGCAAGCAGGCAAATGGTTGGAAGCCAGCAGTCCTGGGTTGTAAGAAGGATGTTCCACTGCCTGATTAGGCAGTCAGATATCCCTCGAGGGGTCCCAGATTGGAGAGGGTGCAGGCTGGGCTGAGGGACACCATCTCTCCCGCCCCCCCAAGCATGAATTTCATTCACTGGGCATCTAGTTGCTTAATAATAAAGATACATAAATATACTTATTCTTCTAATGAGAACACAAAGGCAGAACTAAATACATGACCAAGGTCATTAGGTTTGAGACCCAGGCTATCTTCCTCCAGAGCACACAATGCAATGCATTTCAAGTCTGACCTATCGCCTGTGTCTTATGTTTTGAGATTTTGATTTCTTTTCTTTAGCACAGAGTGGTTGCTATTTCTATCTCTCATTGTGTGCTTCTGATCCCTGCCTCATTAACCCCCGTATGGAAGGTGAAGGTCAAAAAGGTAGAACTAGAGTGATTTCCCATTACTGTTCCATCCACACACACACACACACACACACACACACACACACACACACACACACCTGTGCTCTACAGCAGTCTCAGTTGGTCTAGGCCCTCAGGGGTCAGCAAACTCATTAGTCAACAGAGCCAAATATCAACAGTACAATTGAAATATCTTTTGAGAACCACATTTTTTTAAACTTAAACTGCTTCTAACGCCACTTCTTCAAAATAAACTCGTCCCGGCCATGGTATTTTGTGGAAGAGCCACACTCAAGGGGCCAAAGAGTTGCATGTGGCTCGCGAGCCGCAGTTTGCCAACCACAGGTCTAGGCTTACACTTCAGTGCCTCATTCAGGTGAGCTCCAAAGTTTCTTTTTCAACATTTAACTCTCCAATGTTCAGTTCCCTTCAAGTTCCTTAAACTGCAGCTGCTTTATTATCTTTATTTGTACTAATATTTAAGTATTATATTTTTACTGTGTTCTGTCATTCAGATAGTATACTGATAGCTCAATTTACAAGTTTTTCTCTTCAGAAGAATAACCTTATCAGTGGGAAATCAAATGTGGGACAAATGGGTAAATAAAAATTTGAAAAGTAGAGACTCTTTTTTACATATTTTTATTGATTTCAGAGAGGAAGGGAGAGGGGAGAGACAGAGAGAGACAGAGACAGAGACATCAATGATGAGAGAGACATCATTGATCGGCTGCCTCCTGCATGCCCCCACTGGGGATGGAACCCGAAACCCAGGCATGTGCCCTTGACCAGAATCAAACCCGTGACCCTTCAGTCCACAGGCCGACGCTCTATCCACAGAGCCAAACTGGCTAGGGCAAGTAGAGGCTTTTGAGAGTGGATGGGTGGGTGGTTGAGAAAAGATCAGACAAACATGGACACAGATAATAGTGTGGTAAAGGCCTGGGGAGGAGATTGGGGGTGGGCTAGAAGGGGTCAGTGGGGATCCTATATAATAAAAGGTTAATATGCAAATCAACCAAAGAGCTGAATAACTGGTCTCTATGATGCACACTGACCACCAGGGGGCAAATGCTCAATGCAGAAGCTGCCCTCTGATGGTCAGTGCACTTCCACAGGGGGAGTGTTACTCAGCCAGAAGCCAGACTCAAGGCTGACAAGGGTAGTGATAAACTCAGCGGTGGTGGCGAGAGCCTCTCCTGCTTCCGAAGAAGTGCTAAGGATGCCCGACTAACAGCTTAGGCCCACCTAAGTTGGCAGTCAGACATCCCCCAAGACCTCCCGGAGTGTGAGAGGGCACAGACCGGGTTGAGGGACCCCCTCAAGTGCACTAATTTTGTGCACCAGGCTTCTAATATATAATAATTACAACAATAATTTAAAAAATAGTAGAGACTTTGATCTGTAATTAAATATCTGGAAATACATTCTAATCTTTACCCACAAATGAAGCAGACTCTCATATAAGTTTCTTGTTGTTTATAATATTTATTTTCAAGCATTATAGTAGCACCATAGATGGAACTCATTATAAAAGATGGGCTGCTCAACCACCAAAAAACAACAAAAAACAAGGAATGTGATTTTATTTTTCAGTGTCCATGAGTTAAGTTTTCCATTTGTTTAATTCACATTGTGTGCATAGAGATGCTTTCCCTGAACCCTGGAAATTGCTAAAATTGACATTCTTACCTGAGATTGCAAGCATGAAAATTCTTCATCCACATTTTATGCAAATTCAAGGTAAGAAAGCTAATTTAAAAGTGATCCTTTGTCTACTTGAAGTCTATTTAATTTTATTTCTAATTAAATTTATTGAGGTTACATTGGTAAATAAAATTATGTAGATTTCAAGAGTGCAATCATATGATAAGTCATCTATATATCACATGGTATTTATCACCCAAAGTCAAAATTCCTTCTGTCACCATATATTTGATCCCCTTTACTACCTCCTCACACCCTTTTCCTCTGGTAACCACGATACTGTTATTTATGTCTATGAATTTTAGTTTGTGTTTTTTGTTTTTTCATTTGTTACTTTTAGTTTTATGTTCCACATATGGGTGAAATTGTATGTTTCTTGACTTTCTCTATCTGGCTAATTTCACTTAGCATGATATTCTCAAGATCCATTCATGTTGTCACAAATGGTAGCATTTCACCTTTCTTATAAGTGAGTAGTATTCAAGAGTAAAAAATGGTTTTTACTTGATAGTTACACTGCCCTTGTACTCTAGAAAGTAAACAGAAGTGTTTTATTGTCCTATATTGGTCCTTTGTGTGATAAAATGGCATATCAAATGTATTTTTAGTGCTTGAAATATACAATTACATGTAAAATAAGGATATACCTCCAAGCTTTAGTCTGTTTGGCTCAGTGGATAGAGTGTTGACCTGCAGACCAAAGAGTTCCAGATTCAATTCTAGTCAAGGACACATACCTCGGTAGAAGGCTACCTCCTGGCCTGGGCCCTGGTCAGAGTGCGTGCAAGAAGCAACCAATTGATGTGTTTCTCTCACGATAATATTTCTCTCTTCCACTTCCTCTAAAAATCAATGGAAAAATATCTTCAGGTAGGATTTTTAAAAAAATCTCTCTCCAAGTCTTTTTAATATATCTGTATAACATTATCATAAAAGTGAGTTTTATATGAGACATGATGTTTAGAGAAAGTGTTTTCTGGATTAATCAGAAGGAAAAGGACACAAATGAGCGACTCCTTTACTGATATTTATAAGCAAAAGTACCCAAGAAAAAATAAAAAGTGATGAATTAAAGTAACCAGGGTATAGATTATGTTTCTTTGGGGAAAATGTGGAAGCAATCACTGTGTGAACATTGTCTCAAAGCAAAAGGTTCAAATTATATTTCATAAAATACAATACAATCAGAAAATTTAAAAATATGTTTTATTCTTTATATTTCAAATAGGGACACAATTTTAATCAATAAGAATATAAGTGGTTTAAAATTTATTTGTGTAATGTTTATTACAATAAGATAATATAAACAACAATACATTTAAACATACTTTCTTCTATTAACCTCTTTTTTTCCCCCACTTTTTATTTGGAAATGAATATATATAGATAATGAAGCATAGAGAGCTAGCTACCTTTTACCTTTCACTCAGTTTTCCCCAATCATGATATCTTACTTAGATCACAATATCAAACCCAAGACAATGACATTAGCATAATTCACAGACTTTATTCAGATTTTACCAGTTTTATAAGCACCCGTTTGCTTTTAAATTCTTGTAATCACTACCACATTGTTCTGTTTTTATATTCTAGAAAATAATTACCAATAATTATTTTGTTACTCAGAAGTATGTTTGTTAAGGAAAAGGCAAGGTATATAATGAAACTTTTTCTGTGTTTATCAACTTTCATTTTATTGAGTTGGTTCTGTAGAGAATTTTAACCTTTATTGAGTACATCATTACATGCCTATTTTTTTCCTTAATGTAAATCTCTTACTAAGCATAGGAGCACACATTAAGTATATCAGTACATTTAATCCTAGTGAAGTATTTTGGCATGTCACTATTTCACTGACAAAGAAATGTATTAATGCACAGAAATTCTCTTATATGCAATACTTTACTTTGAAGATGACAAAGGAATATTTAACAACAGGAAATCCTTTACATGTCTCCCACATCTGAATATTCTTGTGCTAGAGACAAAGATCCTGACATTCTCCTAAATTGAGTAACCAGTTCCTTTTTGGTCATTCAGTTCCACGGATGGGCCTTTTCTAAGTCTCGATTAGGATTTTTCTTTATGGATCTTGCTCTGGCTCTCTAAGGAATAGAGATAATCACCTTGCAGCTCTAGACAAG